CCCTCACTTAGAAACTTTATTAATCTTTTCTCCTCTTTCTTTCCCAGGGACTTTTATGGACTCCTTTTATAGGAAAGGAGAACCTTCTTCCTGCCCACAGCTTGCACTTGTAATTTTACTCTCTTCTTTCTCCCAGAAACTGCTTCATTTACTGTTCTTTCAACATTTCCTTCTTCCTGAGAAAATTCCAGATCATTATCCTTAATGCCCCCATCAGACCCTCAGAACATGGATTTAAGTTTCCATATAACTTCTTACTATGTTAAAACTTTCAAATACTGAGAAGCACCCTAGGTTATATTTTTTCCTTTACATTAACTTGGACAGGGAAATCTGGCTCTCCATCTGTGGTATTACTCCTCTTCTCATTTTTGTTTAATCACTCTAGGGATCAGGGGAGAATATATAATTGATAATTTTTTTCAATTAAGCTGTTGGAGTGTTATTTTTAAATTAACATCTTTTTTTTAACCTAGTGATCCTCAGTTGAGCTCAGCTCTAACCATTATTGCTGGTATCATTTGAAAATAGAATTTACTTGGCTCAGCACAGTGGTTACGGCTCCGGCCACATGCACCAAGGCTGGCAGGTTCAAACCCAGGGCCAGTTAAACAATGACAACTGCAAAAAAAAAAAAAAAAAAGTAGAAAATAGAATTTGCTTATTGAGTTGTTTGGTTTGAAAACTGAGAAATTTTCTTTTCTTTCTTTCTTTTTTTTTTTTTTTTGAGACAGAGCCTCAAGCTATCCCCCTGGGTAGAGTGCTGTGGCATCACAGCTCACAGCAACCTCCAACTCCTGGGCTCAAGCAAGTCTCTTGCCTCAGCCTCCCAAGTAGCTGGGACCACAGGCACCTGCCACAACGCCTGCTATTTTTTGGTTGCAGCTGTCATTGTTGTTTTTGGTGGGCCTGGGCTGGATTCAAACCCGCCACCTTAGGTGTATGTGGCTGGCGCCTTAGCCACTTGAACCACAGGCACCGAGCCTGAAAACTGAGAAATTTTCTAATGGTCCTGGCAGATCTAAATTATGATTTCTGCATAGATTTTTTCCCCCTGGAATCCTCAGAAATTAGTATTTGTTTTGACTTACTAAGTAGTATAGGTGTTTGAACTTGATTTATAAACATTCACACAATTATTTCAGAATGTAGTTAAATAATTCTGAAGGCCTAAAACATTTGTTTTTATTTATTTGGCTGTCTTAGGTGCCTTTATTCTAGCTGTTACTGACATTTTCCTTTCATTAAAAAATTTCAGTCTTATTTTGATAGTTTTAAAAATGTTACTCCAATTTGATTATCTATATTCCATCTTCAGAAGCTTCTTGAATAAGAAGTAATACTTATAGAATGTGCTAGCTCTTTAGAATTATTTACAAAGTAATTTTGTGAGGAATTTGGTAACATTCTAAGATGAAGCTGAACATTTTTATTTATTTTTATGTTTAATATGTGAGAAAATACTTTTTATGCCATTGGTTCAGTAGTTTGTAAAATTCTTAACATAAATGATTTTATTCTTATGTTGGGCTGTGGGACTACTTAACACAGTATGATTATAGTTTTCTTTATACAGTCTTTCTTGTAAGACTGTCATATTTCTTGAGCATGTAGCTACTTGTGGGCACACGTGCCATTTTTATGGTTGCATCATAATGCGAGCAGAAATTCATTCAAACTAACAAGTGAACTGATTAGGGAAGTGTAGAGGATAAACAAAGGGCACTAGAGCCCTGTGGAGCCTGGGTGGAGTTTGTGGCACCATTTGTGGCTGAAAGGTAGCTGAACATTTCCATTTTGCTGTCACTCCCTTGGGAATGAAGGGGTTTCATAATAGGGTGTGATCTGCACACTTGGTAAGAGTGATTGACATTGAATGATTAAATAGAAGAAGAGAATAAATACCACTCCTCCTCCTCTTAGGGCTAAGCACATATACACTGAATGCAGCTCTTTTCAGTATGGAAGGGAGTCTGGCTTAATGATAGCACATATTAGACAAGCGGGGTGGGGGAGAGGTGAATTATATGCAGATCAAAATGCGAGGAAATCGAAACCAAAATCCTTAAAACTAACTTTTATAACTGAAATGTGATGGTAAATGCACATACAGAATGTGATTGAAGATCCCATTTGTGAAAGTGGAATCCTGATATCAGGTCCTTGGTCAGGGAATGGGCAAAATGGTTGCCTGAATTGGATAACGCAGCGCATACCACGGTGACTGATGAAATTGATGTGTCCGCGGGAGAGCTGGCTCTATTACTGAAGCCTTTAACCTATTTTCTCTCTCTCTGAAAATGAGCTTCTGAGTGGATCTTATCCTTAAGGAAGTGAATTTAATTCGAAAGATGTTTTATAGATGGGCAAATTTAATTTAAGAATTCACTTATCCATTATGGAGGAAAACGATGTAGGAAAACATTATTATAAGTAATATGGTTATATTTTTCAAAGATGCTATTTTTGAGTGTGTTATTTTGAGGACAAGAATTTCAAACTTTTGTAATTTCTATTAGTATTTTTGCAATATCGGTTAAAACATATGGCTGACATAATAATGAATCTATTATAAAATTTATTAAGATATGTAATTGTACAATAAATAATTTAATTAGAACACGATTTCTTAGTTTTCCCATTTAAGTTTTGAAAATAGGCTCTAGTCTATTCTAAGATAAATACTTGTTAATTATTGTAAAGACTAAAAGCCCATTCTATGAATTCATTATTATAAAATCTATAAGGCAGTATCAGTAACTACAGAAATAACCAATAGTTATCCTGATGTTTTGGCTATCAAAAAATTCACCCTTTATAAATTATCCCAGAAGATAAAATACTAAGTATCCTACCTACACTGTTTAGCAGATTAAGAGTAGCTCAGTAGCTTATCTTTGAAATATAAGGTAGTCTGAGTTATTGAGCTTGATGGTCCCTCATACACATACAAATGTAATTCATTATAATTAACTGTTTTTGTCATTAGTCTATTTTCTTACAGTTACTGCATATTTTGCTGTTGTTTTCTGAAAACCGTGTGACCTATTATTTATGCTTCATAATGAGATTTGTGGAGTCATAAATGTATTTTATTATTATTAAATCATAGCTGTGTACATTAATGCAATTATGGGTTACAATGTGCTGGTTTTATATACCATTTGAAATATTTTCATCTGTTTGGAAAATAAATTAAAAATAAAAACCTCTTAGGGCGGTGCCTGCGGCTCAAAGTAGTAGGGCACCAGCCCCATATACTGGAGGTGGCTGGTTCAAACCCAACCCCAGCCAAAAACTGCAAAAAAAATATAAAAACTCCAGTCTTAAAAAAATAATAATAAAATAAAAACCCCTTAAAATATTTCATCTGGAGACAAATCAATAAGCAAATTCTATATTTAAACAATCAAATTTAAAACCTTTGTAAATGTAAGTTTTTCTTAATTTCTTCTACTTCCAATAGTTTGTTTTCAATATAAAATTTTAAAAGAAAAAAATTGTATTGAAAGTGAGCAAATATATCTTCCAAATAATTCCCTTGCTAAGCTGAATTTTTAGATATCTAGTACAGAGCTATGACCAGTGTGCATCAAATATTAATTAAGGATGGATTTATGTTTGTTTCTATTTAGGGGAAATCACCATAAAGGAAAACTAGTTTCTTACAGAAAGAAAAGAAAAGAAATTTTTCTTATCACTGAACTGATCTTGTATCAATCTGATATAAATATTAATATTTAGAAGCTTTCTTTTTCTGAAGCACTGTCTGAGTCAGACACTAAAATATATGGGCAGTTTGCCAGATAGCATTCTGACTTTCTGATTAAACATCTGACTTTTTAATACATGTATATCAAATTTCACTGCACTACTTGATTTTGTACAAAAGAAAAAATTCTTCCCGTTCAGCTGGTTTCAATAATCAAAAGAATTAATGCTCAAAAAAGTGTTAAACTCATAAAATTTAATTTGGTCTATAATTTTCCGATTGCTGAGTGAACTGCTATTTCATATCATGTCAACAGCTGTAGTTTTGAACTGTTGTTTGTTAAACTAGCTGGTTGGTTTTTGTTGAATATTCGCTGCCCTCTAGTGGACTAAACTGTTCTTTGAAAACAAGCAAACAGTGTCAAATTTAAATAAGCAGTCATTTTTATGTGGAAGTGATTAAATACTCTTTCATGTTTTAGTACTCTTGTTTTTCACTGGCAATTATGCACAACTAATTGTATAACTTTGCTAGAGCACTTTGGTGATGATAGGATTTGAAACAACCAGGATAATCATTATATTAATAAATAACAATAAATACTTTTAAGAAAGCACATTAGGGCTCGGCGCCTGTGGCTCAAGCGGCTAATACACCAGCCACATACACCTAAGGTGGAGGGTTTGAATCCCTAGCCCGGGCCCGCCAAACAGCAATGATGGCTGCAACCAAAAAATGGCCAGGCATTGTGGCAGGCGCCTGTGGTCCCAGCTACTTGGGAGGCGGAGGCAGGAGACTCGCTTGAGCCCAGGAGT